ACAGTAATTGTGTATGTCTTCAGTAATAGTGTAATGATCTACATTAATTGTGTATGTCTACAGTAATTGTGAATGTCTACAGTAATTGTGTATATCTACAGTAATTGTGTACAGTAATTGTGTATGTCTACAGTAACTATGTGTGTCTATAGTAATTGTGTATGTCTACATTAATTGTGTACAGTAATTGTGTATGTCTACAGTAATTGTGTATGTCTACAGTAATTGTGTATGTCTACATTAATTGTGTACAGTAATTGTGTATGTCTACAGTAATTGTGTATGTCTACAGTAATTGTGTATGTCTACAGTAATTGTGTATGTCTACATTAATTGTGTATGTCTACAGTAATTGTGTATATCTACAGTAATTGTGTACAGTAATTGTGTATGTCTTCAGTAATAGTGTAATGATCTACATTAATTGTGTATGTGTACAGTAATTGTGTGTGTCTATAGTAATTGTGTATGTCTAATGTAATTGTGTATGTCTATAGCAATTGTGTATGTCTACATTAATTGTGTACAGTAATTGTGTATGTCTTCAGTAATAGTGTAACGATCTACATTAATTGTGTATGTGTACAGTAATTGTGTGTGTCTATAGTAATTGTGTATGTCTACAGTAATTGTGTATGTCTATAGCAAGTGTGTATGTCTATAGTAATTGTGTATATCTACAGTAATTGTGTACAGTAATTGTGTATGTCTACATTAATTGTGTACAGTAATTGTGTATGTCTACATTAATTGTGTACAGTAATTGTGTATGTGTACAGTAATTGTGTATCTCTACATTAATTGTGTTATTGTGTATGTCTACAGTAATTATGTGCAGTAATTGTGTATGTCTACAATAATTTTGTATGTCTACAGTAATTGTGTATGTCTACAGTAATTGTGTATCTCTATAGTAATTGTGTATGTCTACAGTAATTGTGTATGTCTACAGTAATTGAGTATGTCTACAGTAATTGTGTATCTCTATAGTAATTGTGTATGTCTACAGTAATTGTGTATGTCTACAGTAATTGAGTATGTCTACAGTAATTGTGTATCTCTATAGTAATTGTGTATGTCTACAGTAATTGTGTATGTCTACAGTAATTGTGTATGTCTACAGTAATTGAGTATGTCTACAGTAATTGTGTATCTCTATAGTAATTGTGTATGTCTACAGTAATGGTGTATGTCTACAGTAATTGTGTATGTCTATAGTAATTGTGTATGTCTATAGTAATTGTGTATGTATACAATAATTGTGTACAGTAATTGTGTATGTCTACAGTAATTGTGTATAGTAATTGTGTATGTCTATAGTAATAGTGCAATGGTCTACATTAATTGTGTATGGTTTTATATGATCGAGATATGTATATGCCTGGTATTTAAATATGTCCCTCAGGTCTCCTGCAGTAAATCTCTATATATTTTTATGAATTAGATATGACATTGGCTTTGTACATGTATATCTCAGTTAATCACTGGTATATCTATTGACCCAGGAGGTCCCACGAGGTGTTTCAATTTTAAAGGCAGCTTACCGTTAATACGACAGGGTATGGAGGGTAGGTAGGGTGTGTACGGTATAATACGACAGGGTATGGATGGGTAGGTAGGGTGTGTACGGTATAATACGACAGGGTATGGAGGGGTAGGTAGGGTGTGTACGGTATAATACGACAGGGTGTGGATGGGTAGGTAGGGTGTGTACGGTATAATACGACAGGGTATGGAGGGGTAGGTAGGGTGTGTACGGAATAATACGACAGGGTATGGAGGGTATGTTGGTAGAGTGTGTACGGTATAATACGACAGGGTATGGAGGAGTAGGTAGGGTGTGTACGGTATAATACGACAGGGTATGGAGGGGTAGGTAGAGTGTGTACAGTATAATACGACAGGGTATGCAGAGTATGTTGGCAGAGTGTGTACGGTATAATACGACAGGGTATGGAGGGTATGTTGGTAGAGTGTGTACGGTATAATACGACAGGGTATGGAGGGTAAGTTGGTAGAGTGTGTACGGTATAATACGACAGGGTGTGGAGAGTATGTTGGTAGAGTGTGTATGGTATAATACGACAGGGTATGGAGAGTATGTTGGTAGAGTGTGTACGGTATAATACGACAGGGTATGGAGGGCAAGTTGGTAGAGTGTTTACGGTATAATACGACAGGGTATGGAGGGTTAGTTGGTAGAGTGTGTACGGTATAATACGATAGGGTATGGAGGGGTAGGTAGGTAGAGTGTGTACGGTATAATACGACAGGGTATGGAGGGTAAGTTGGTAGAGTGTGTACGGTATAATACGACAGGGTATGGAGGGGTATGTTGGTAGAGTGTGTACAGTATAATCCGACAGGGTATAGAGGGTATGTTGGTAGAGTGTGTACGGTATAATACGACAGGGTATGGAGGGGTAGGTAGGGTGTGTACGGTATAATACGACAGGCTATGGAGGGGTATGTTGGTAGAGTGTGCACGGTATAATACGACAGGGTATGGAGAGCGAATTTAGTGATGTATCACTGAGACTTTAATTGTGTGTGAAGGAAACCGAGAACCTGTTCCGGAGAGAATACACATGGTATACTATAATGATACGTTGATCTCCGTCTGTGTGGTGACAGCCACGTTTATATGAAGCAGAGCTTTCGGTTTACACAAGGAAAACCTCGGCGGTCCGTGGCTATTAGATATAAATCAAGAGATAGATTTCACATCCGATATGATTCACCATTACGGAAGTTATATTACAGATTACCAACAATGTAAACAGTCCCATTATGACAAAATTTCTGTTTTTGAAAACTTTAAATCATCAGAAGTATATACTCCGACGCCATCTTAGGGAATAAACTGTACTTTTTACATTTAAGGAATGGTGATTAGTGGTACTTACTTCCCCTTCAGTTGTCATGTATATCATCGGAACTAATAATGATGTGATTTTGTAACGCAATCAGCTTCCTTTTCCCGTAAAGCACGACTTTGTTCAATAAGCTTTGTCTGGAGAACGTCTCACAGTAATAACAAGCTCATTTCTAACTAATGCTCGTACTAGTCTCCTCTGACGGAAAGGAACTCTCCATTTAAATTGTTAATATTACATGGAATTAGCAGTTTTCTAGCACCTTAAAATTGTCATGATTAGAATTCGTAGTTAGAAATATCGGTTGGTATTCTAAGGATAAATAGCGTACCAACTGGTGAGTGATGTGTTTCATATTTGTCGGTAAAAATATTCCATACATTGATCTGTATTATACAGATATTTTGCTAGAGGAATGATGAAGTTATGCTGACATTTACCTGTCACGAATAAAATTCAATGTCAGTAAACATACGACTTATACCCTAATGCTTATAACCTATAGCCTATAACCTATAACCTTTAGTCTGTAACCTATAACCTAAAGCCTTTAACATATAGTCTATAACCTGTAGCCTATAACCTATAACCTAAAGCCTCTAACCTATAGCTTATAACATATAGCCTATAACCTATAGCCTATACCCTATGACATCAAGCCTATAACCTATAGCCTATAACCTATAGCCTATAACCTATAGTCTATAACCTATGACATCAAGCCTATAACCTATAGCCTATAACCTATGACATCAAGCCTATAACCTATAGCCTATAACCTATAACCTATAGCCTATAACCTTATAACTTATAGTGTATAACCTAAAGCCTATAACATATAACCTTTACGTCATAGCCTGTAGAAATTCGTACAAGCTGGAAGCGGGAATTGTACCCGGACAAAATACGTGCTTTATGTACTATATATATAGTGAAAGTGATATTTCTTGTCTTTTAACTCGCGAAAAATTGTTAATAAAGAAAATGTCCAGAGACATGTTCTATGCTGAACTTTCCTAAATTGGTTTCTCTTCTGCCCTTTGGAAAACGGATTACATATTATTGATATATCACAGTTACCATGACTACTTAACACTAAATGATCATCTGATATATCACAGTTACCATGACTACTTAACACTTAATGATCATCTGATATATCACAGTTACCATGACTACTTAACACTTAATGATCATCTGATATATCACAGTTACCATGACTACTTAACACTTAATGATCATCTGATATATCACAGTTACCATGACTACTTAACACTTAATGATCATCTGATATATCACAGTTACCATGACTACTTAACACTTAATGATCATCTGATATATCACAGTTACCATGACTACTTAACACTTAATGATCATCTGATATATCACAGTTACCATGACTACTTAACACTTAATGATCATCTGATATATCACAGTTACCATGACTACTTAACACTTAATGATCATCTGATATATCACAGTTACCATGACTACTTAACACTAAATGATCATCTCAGATATAGGACCAATTCAATTGGTTCCAGATCATTGTTTGAAGTATCCGCTCAAATTATCCGGAAAGTTCAGATAATCAATTCTCATTTTAACGTTTATAGCACGTCTCTGGGGAAAACAAACCCTTACACTATTATAACTTTAAATCAAATATGTCTGCTTGGCAACGCGAAGCGATTTATGTGACGACTCGCGGCTGGATGCTCAAAATATTGTTTGGGCTTCAGATGGTCATTACAAATGCTGTTTCGATTTGTATCTGATTCTGTGTGAAATTCAATATTAGATCAAAATCTTGTTGGACAACCAGAGCACGAGAATGTCTATGTTCTCTCTTACCAAGGCAATGTCCATCCTCAGATCTATTGTTTAACTGAATGTTTTTGCATGTTACAGGTCAGAGCAATCCTAAGCACCACACGACATCTACGAAATACTTCTCTGGCAAAGAATAGGCAGCGATTGGGTTAGCCGACGGTTTCTGCTAGGACTGATACAGAGAGCTTGAGCACCGAATGGAAATTTCTAAGAAACGTTGATATCCCCAGTTACAGCCAACAGGCTCTTGTGTATTCTTCGATCCTCAATTTGATCATTGTTTTTGGATTTATGCGTTTTCGTGATCACTGTAATTTCGGTATGTTGGATAGAATAGGAGGAAAGTCCGTCCGGAGTACGTACCTAGTTTTATTCACAGTGCTTCCGGTATGCTACTCCTTCAACTCCGTTACCTTTTACGCCATTATGCCTCATATGAGGACACTGGAGAAAACAATCAGAACTAAAATGTTGACCACGAAGTACTTCCTGGAAAGGAGAAGTGTAGACCACTCAGTCCTCACGCGCAAATTTCACATCGATTTCCATTTTAAAATGCTACCAAATTATTCTCCAGGTGAAATATTGGATACGTTCTGTGAAAGTGTTTTCCCAAAGCACACCAATGCTTTATTGTATCTTAAATCAAATCGGGGAAATATTGTGAAGTCTTCACGTGATGTGATTGTGGACATCGCCAAAAGTATAGGATACCCTGTGATATCGTGGGACCCAGAATTCCCGGGAGCATTACAGGTAAGTAATTATATCTATAGTATTTACAGGTAAGTAATTATATCTATAGTATTTACAGGTAAGTAATTATATCTATGATATTTACTGGTAAGTAATTATATCTATGGTGTTTACAAGTACGTACTTATATATATGGTAATTACAGGTATGTAATTATATCTAATTTTATTTACAGGTAAGTAATTATATTTATGGTATTTACAGGTACGTACTTATATCTATGGTATTTACAGGTAAGTAATTATATCTAATTTTATTTACAGGTAAGTAATTATATTTATGGTATTTACAGGTAAGTAATTATATTTATGGTATTTACAGGTACGTACTTATATATATGGTATTTACAGGTAAGTAATTATATCTAATTTTATTTACAGGTAAGTAATTTTATTTATGGTATCTACAGGTAAGTAATTATATTTATGGTATTTACAGGTACGTACTTATATATATGGTATTTACAGGTAAGGTACGTAATTATATATAACAATGACGTAATTATACTTTAGTTACAGAGAAACACGAACGAATCGAAACAGATGCATCTGACTTTCAAAACAGACGCATTGCCAAAATTCAGAAAGGGCATTTATTGATGAAAAGTTGCTGACGCAGAGTAATGACAATAACAGATTTTTTTCTTGAGTGACATAGACAAACAATGGCTTCACGAGACCTATGACGTAACATGCCGCCATTATTGTGTCCAATGCCTGTAACAAAGTAGTGATGGTAATGAGATGGAAATTGATGTATTTTGTAGATTATCCTAATCATTGAGTCCGTACCCTGTAGTACTGTACAGAGTCCGTACCCTGTAGTACTGTAAAGAGTCCGCACCCTGTGGCACTGTACAGTGTCCGCACCCTGTGGCACTGTACAGAGTCCGTACCCTGTGGTACTGTACAGAGTCCGCACCCTGTAGTACTGTACAGAGTCCGCACCCTGTGGTACTGTACAGAGTCCGCACCCTGTGGTACTGTAAAGAGTCCGTACCCTGTAGTACTGTACAGAGTCCGTACCCTGTAGTACTGTAAAGAGTCCGTACCCTGTAGTACTGTACAGAGTCCGTACCCTGTAGTACTGTAAAGAGTCTGCACCCTGTGGTACTGTACAGAGCCCGCACCCTGTGGTACTGTACAGAGTCCGCACCCTGTGGTACTGTACAGAGCCCGCACCTTGTGGTACTGTACAGAGTCCACACCCTGTAGTACTGTACAGAGTCCGCACCCTGTTATACTGTACAGAGTCCGCACCCTGTAGTACTGTAACTTGGATACAAAACCTTGTCTGATTGTAATGGCAGTGTCTGTTGACAGTTATATTGATGTGGGTATCTTTATCTATGGTTCTGACTAACATTCCGCATCTTGTGGTCAAACATGCCCTTATATAAACTATCAATACTTTCCAGATGTCGCCATATTTAAACAAGTCCCGTGATTTCTTAGCTCTGACTTATAAATAAAATATGTAGAACTAGCTAGAGGTTTGAAGGCGGGAGGTGAAGCATAATTAGATATACAGATACATCACTTACTCAATACACATTGATAACTATCCCACACTAGTAATACTTAGTATCAACGCGTTCACCCCAAAAAAGGAAACTGTCTTTTACAGGCTGTTGAAAACAAGTGATATGTCTGTATATTTTTACAGATACACAATTCATATTCCCTAAGAATGAAGTTAAGTGCAGGATTAGTGTATAATGTCGATATTCTACATATGATGAATTTAGTGTATAATGTCGATATTCTACATATGATGAATTTAGTGTATAATGTCGATATTCTACATATGATGAATTTAGTGTATAATGTCGATATTCTACATATGATAAATTTAGTGTATAATATCGATATTCTACATATGAATTTAGTGTATAATGTCGATATTCTTCATATGATAAATTTAGTGTATAATGTCGATATTCTACATATGAATTTAGTGTATAATGTCGATATTCTACATATGAATTTAGTGTATAATGTCGATATTCTTCATATGATAAATTTAGTGTATAATGTCGATATTCTACATATGATAAATTTAGTGTATAATGTCGATATTCTACATATGATAAATTTAGTGTATAATGTCGATATTCTTCATATGATAAATTTAGTGTATAATGTCGATATTCTACATATGAATTTAGTGTATAATGTCGATATTCTACATATGAATTTAGTGTATAATGTCGATATTCTTCATATGATAAATTTAGTGTATAATGTCGATATTCTACATATGATAAATTTAGTGTATAATGTCGATATTCTTCATATGATAAATTTATTCTACATATGTATAATGTCGATATTCTACATATGAATTTAGTGTATAATGTCGATATTCTACATATGAATTTAGTGTATAATGTCGATATTCTTCATATGATAAATTTAGTGTATAATGTCGATATTCTACATATGATAAATTTAGTGTATAATGTCGATATTCTACATATGATAAATTTAGTGTATAATGTCGATATTCTACATATGAATTTAGTGTATAATGTCGATATTCTACATATGAATTTAGTGTATAATGTCGATATTCTACATATGATACATTTAGTGTATAATGTCGATATTCTACATATGATAAATTTAGTGTATAATGTCGATATTCTACATATGATAAATTTAGTGTATAATGTCGATATTCTTCATATGATAAATTTAGTGTATAATGTCGATATTCTACATATGAATTTAGTGTATAATGTCGATATTCTACATATGAATTTAGTGTATAATGTCGATATTCTTCATATGATAAATTTAGTGTATAATGTCGATATTCTACATATGATAAATTTAGTGTATAATGTCGATATTCTACATATGATAAATTTAGTGTATAATATCGATATTCTACATATGAATTTAGTGTATAATGTCGATATTCTTCATATGATAAATTTAGTGTATAATGTCGATATTCTTCATATGATAAATTTAGTGTATAATGTCGATATTCTACATATGAATTTAGTGTATAATGTCGATATTCTACATATGAATTTAGTGTATAATGTCGATATTCTACATATAATAAATTTAGTGTATAATGTCGATATTCTACATATGATAAATTTAGTGTATAATGTCGATATTCTACATATGATAAATTTAGTGTATAATGTCGATATTCTACATATGAATTTAGTGTATAATGTCGATATTCTACATATGAATTTAGTGTATAATGTCGATATTCTTCATATGAATTTAGTGTATAATGTCGATATTCTACATATGATAAATTTAGTGTATAATGTCGATATTCTACATATGATAAATTTAGTGTATAATGTCGATATTCTTCATATGATAAATTTAGTGTATAATGTCGATATTCTTCATATGATAAATTTAGTGTATAATGTCGATATTCTACATATGATAAATTTAGTGTATAATGTCGATATTCTTCATATGATAAATTTAGTGTATAATGTCGATATTCTACATATGATAAATTTAGTGTATAATGTCGATATTCTTACATATGATAAATTTAGTGTATAATGTCGATATTCTACATATGAATTTAGTGTATAATGTCGATATTCTACATATGAATTTAGTGTATAATGTCGATATTCTACATATGATAAATTTAGTGTATAATGTCGATATTCTACATATGAATTTAGTGTATAATGTCGATATTCTACATATGATAAATTTAGTGTATAATGTCGATATTCTACATATAATAAATTTAGTGTATAATGTCGATATTCTACATATGATAAATTTAGTGTATAATGTCGATATTCTTCATATAAATTTAGTGTATAATGTCGATATTCTTCATATGATAAATTTAGTGTATATTGTTGATATTCTACATATGAATTTAGTGTATAATGTCGATATTCTACATATGAATTTAGTGTATAATGTCGATATTCTACATATAATAAATTTAGTGTATAATGTCGATATTCTACATATGATAAATTTAGTGTATAATGTCGATATTCTACATATGATAAATTTAGTGTATAATGTCGATATTCTACACAGGAAGAATTAACCCCAAAAGCAATGAAAGAGCGCAAAATGTGATTGTCACAAGAAAAGTGCTAAGATCAGACACTGACAAACATTTCTTAGATTAGAGACCGTCACACATGCTAATGGGTATCAAACACGTCCAACATCATGTCACACAACGAAACCACCAGATTAACGGGGTCAAACACATCCAACATCATGTCACACAACGAAACCACCAGATTAACGGGGTCAAACACGTCCAACATCATGTCACACAACGGAACCACCAGATTAACGGGGTCAAACACGTCCAACTTTATATCACACAAAGAAACCCTCAGACAAACTAACGAGCATCAAACACATCCAACTTGATATCACATAACGGAACCACCAGGTTAATGGGGTCAAAAACGTTAAACTTCATATCACATAACAAAACAACAAGGCAAAGTAATGAGGTCAAACACGTCATATCATACAACGGAATCATCAGACAAACTAACGGGGGTCAAACACTCCCAACTTTATATCATAAAAGTAAATTGAACAATTCCTTATGAGATCAAAGTGGTGTCCAGAAATCGTTTTTTTTTTAATTAAAAGACAGTGTAGAATAGTTTGTAGAGACTCGAAACACAAATAACCTGTTCCTCCTGACTTCAAACACACAAACTAGCATTGTATGTCCAGACACAAAATAACAGACGAAATGTAAAACTGTTATCGTCCATGCTCCTAACAGCCCTCTTGTAATGAAGTCACCGTATTGATATTTAACGCCAGCAGACAATTTATACGTTGTACGTTTTCTGTAAGAACGCAGACACTTACTCTCAAACAGACAAATGTTAGTAATCTCTCACAGGAAAACATGTACAACGACATATCCCAAATCTCAAGTCAAAGGCAGACTTAATGAGTCGACAAGAAAATTAGCCGTTACCTTTGTTTGAAGGGTATTTTGGGCACTGA